ATATTCACAACGTTTCGGCCGTTGTACACTCCGACTTTCTTCGGGTGATTATAACTTCGAACCAAACCTTTTATTTCGTCCACCGGGGTAGAAAGTTCTAGTTTCACGTGTCATGCCTCTTCCTGATGCCTTAGTTCTTTCCCTTTAACTTAACTCTCTAAGATTTGGTTCATCATTAATGTGGCCTGGTACACTGAACTCACAAATCTTTTGGGTCTAGTCCCTTAAGCTAATCAAAGACAAACGGCCCAGTGGATAAAGGCGTTGAAAAAAGTTAAATCATTTAAGCAACCATTCGACCAAGAAGTCATTCAAAGAGACACTATAGCGTAAAGTTCACGCCAACAATTAATATGAAAGTATTTATAGAAAGGCCACGGGTAACTACTACGTTACGGCTGTAGGAAAGCAACTGAAGCCGAGATGCCAGGTCAGTATTAATAACATTGCAGATTGTTCTTTAGATTTTATCAAGGATCTCTAAAATATATAAAAGGGTCACTAGACAATATGTGGCAGCAATGTTCAAATCATGGACGAATGGTAAACTTATAAATATTTAAGAAGGATCCGGCCGAGAAAAATTGTCTAGTACAACACAGCGAACCAACTTACTTAACAGAAGACCCAGCAGTTAACTCGATATCATCTTTTCATTTCATTCCCAGTGGAAAGCGTTAACCAAAGAAGACGCATCTTGAAATGTTTTAACACATCCGATAAACCGTTGATTCTCTTATGGTGAAGTGGAAAGTTAATTTGGTAATTTCTATGAAGGAGATTTATAACCTGTTCTCTTCCTAGCTTAAGAACTAAAAGGTTTTTTCTGTGATTCTTGCGACTAATGGTGTCAAGATGGCTAAACGTCTCATATGAAAACCTGGAAAAAAGAAACTCAATTAGTTTAGTCGTTTTTCACATATTAAAAATTTTGTGGGATGGATAATTAGGCTATAACACGATTTGGACATCTGTCTATATTTCTGAGATGAGGTATTATGTACACTATTTACATTATTCGGACTATTGTCCTCATCTTTCTTGCCATATTTATTACAACGTTTTGGCCTTTCAGTATCTGTCTATATTTCTGAGATGAGGTATTATGTACACGATTTACATTATTCGGACTATTGTCCTCATCTTTGTTGCCATATTTATTACAACGTTTTGGCCTTTCAGTATCTGTCTATATTTCTGAGATGAGGTATTATGTACACTACTTACATTATTCGAACTATTGTCCTCATCTTTGTCGCCATGTTTATTACAATGTTTAGGCCTTTCAGTATCTGTCTATATTTCTGAGATGAGGTATTATGTACACTATTTACATTATTCGGACTATTGTCCTCATCTTTGTCGCCATATTTATTACAACGTTTCGGCATTTCAGTATCTGTCTATATTTCTGAGATGAAGTATTATGTACACTATTTACATTATTCGGACTAGTGTCCTCGTCTTTGTCGCCATTTTTATTACAACGTTTCGGCCTTTCAGTATCTGCCTATATTTCTGAGATGAGGTATTTTGTTCACTATTTACATTATGAAGTTGGTCGGAGTGTACAACGGCCGAAAAATTTTAATAAATATGGCGACAAAGATGAGGACAATAGTCCGAATAATGTAAATAGTGTACGATTTGGACAATTTTGCTTTTATACTTGGTATAGTAGTGAATGTTAGATAATTTCCTTGTAGATGAAAAGAAGACTTGGATTGAAAGAAATGTGGGTCTACAGAAGGATGCTGAGAATATCATGGACGGATCATATGAACTACAAGATAGTTTTAAGGGAAATGTTTTGTTTGTGTAGCGGAATATCAACTGCTCATGGGTAATTTAATGCCGAAATTTAATTTTCTTGAGAGCATCATTGTATTTTTTTCTATACAAAAAATGCATTGCTGGTAATATTTTTTTATTTTCAAAATGTATTGCTGGTAAATTTTTTAACTATGATAATGTATTGCTGGTATTTTTACAATAAAAATATCTTTATACTTCATAGTATTTTGGCCTAAGTTTGGGGGGTTAACTATTTTCCCATAGCAGGGACCCTAATAGGTGCTACCACCCTGGGTCAGGGTAGACCTGGGAACAACAGCAATTAAAGGGTAGTTCCACGGTCCTAAATGACCTCTATATCAGTGGCCTTGCTGCCGGATGAAGTTTATCGTTATACCAAGGACGTAAGGGAAATGATAGCAAACAGTGCACTTATAGAGAGAATCCAAAAGAGACAGTTGAAACTTGTAAGCCAAATAATGAGGAAAGTGGGCTTTGAGAATTTAACACACGTAGGATATACTGAGGTCAAGATGGGCAGAGGAAAGCCGCGAGTAACCTACATAACGAGTTTGTGAAAATTGATAGAATAACAGGGATTGCGATTGATAGTGAAAACATAAACGTTTCTAATAGCTGCAAAGAATAGGAAATTGTGGAGAGCCATGATCGCTTAAGTGCTGGAGGTGAACAGCATTTATTAAGGTAAATTGCTAACGAGATATTGTTCGAGAAAATGAATCTTGATTTTTCTTTTTAATATTGTTGTAACAGACCGTGGAAAACGTGACACAGAAAGCTGAAGCTGCATTGGAATAGAGAAAGATGCTTTTCCGAAACTAAGCAAAGCATTAAGACAAAAGGAAATTTCGAAACAAAGAAAAGAATCCTGAAATGCTATGTAGTATCAATCATCCTATATATGGTAGCGAATTCTGAGATATATGCTCAGAGATGAAGAAGAATTTTGAAGCGGCAAAAACGGTCAGTTCTCTGTACGGCTCTTGTAATTACATGGTTTTTCATGCTATCTTTTACCTTAAGAAGAGCCTGAACCAGCTTAAAATGGAGTACTGTTATCTTATTTAGACTGGAGCTGCATAGTCCACACTTTCCACTCTTAATAGAGTTCAAAAACGTCTCTGAGTCCTTGCGGATGACAAACAATTTTCCACTCTCCAACCTATTTCTCACAGACGGGTTTGACAAGCCTCTCACTGCTCTCTCGCTATTTTCATGGAAAGTGCTCGGACGAAATACATTCCTAAGTTCCGACAGCTCTACCCTTCAGGGCTAGGACTCTCCATGTCACTTACATTCTATCAAACCATCCACATTCTCCCCGTATTCTATTGGTGAGAAGTAAGTTCCCCTCGAAGGGTTTCTTCGCGAGAATAACTATAGAAATGATTCTTAAGAGGATGTTTCCCCGATCAATAAATCTTAACTTGTTCAAGGCTACGTTTAACCATTATCTTTCTCCTTGTGTCCGCATAAACTGCTTCTTAATGCAAGTACCCCCCCCCCGGGGGCCTTGTACAGGGTGAACCTTACTGTTAAAAAAGAAAATAGCAATGAATTCTTGGGAAACATTGTGTAGTTTTCTTTTTGCTTTCTTATTTTCTTAGACATCTTGTCACTCAAGAATAGACAACCTAGACTATCCTGCTATTTAAACCACTGCTGGATGGAGTTATTCTTTTTCCCGAGGGCATTCGTGCAAATCTGAACACAACAGACAAGTTCGGAATTCGAACTCGACTCGCCGATTCCATTTTATGTCTCGTTAACTTTTCCGCTACAGCACAAATACATGTCAAAATTACTACAGCTGAAAGAGAGAGAGAGAGAAAGAGAGAGAGAGAGAGAGAGAAAGTATAAAATCAAGAAGAAGTGAGTATCACGTGACAAGAAAAACGACGAAAGGGAGAAATAATCATAACATACTATGAAACAAAGACAAAAAGAAATAGACACGCACCAGAAAAACTAGAAATATAAACAGCCAATTGCGGATATCCTCTGACGATGGCACTGAGTAATTATTGGAGGGTCTGTCTACGAAAATCTAGAGTCGGGATGCTGAAGATTACAGTAATCAGATAAATGACATTCTTTATATTTGTATTAGTTCTAAACGTTAATTTTAGTGGATGCTCGTAGACGCCCCGTTTACTATTTATTTGTTATTCATTATTATATTTGAGAAATCTTATTAAATATAAATTCTTTAATAAGATTTGTCGAATATTCTGGCCGTTACGTGAAAATAAATATACAGTTTAATAAATACGAGTATCCACTATAAACAAGCTTTAAAAAGTGAAGCAAATATATATATATATATATATATATATATATATATATATATATATATATATGAAGAAATATAGTGTTAAAATGTTATTAACTATTGTTGTATCAATTATGTTCGAAAAAGATGTTAAGTTTAGGGAGGGTAGGGTGCATTTTTCAACGAATTTACATTGAGCACTGTTTTATAAAAATAAAAATATCAATAAGAACACCGGATTATATATCTTACTTTTCTTTCTTGTTATTATAATATATATATATATATATATATATATATATATATATATATATATATATATATATATATATATATATATATATATATATATATATATATATATATATATATATATATATATATATATATAAATATATATATATTGATCCGACAGTATGAAGAAAAATATACGGAAAAAAACAAACAAAAAAATCCTAATATGCAATTATGCTGTTTTAATGTTAATATAATGTCAACGTCGGACGTTTCGGTCTATTTAATTATGTTTTATGAATATGTCCTTAAGATGGTCTATTAGACCGAAACGTCCGACGTCGACATTATATTCACAGTAAAACAGCATAATTGCATATTAGGATTTTTTTGTTTTTTTATATTTTTCATATATATATATATATATATATATATATATATATATATATATATATATATATATATATATATATATATATATATATATATATATATATATATATATATATATATATTCGTATATATGTGACATAATGATATTTCCGATATAACCTTTTCTGCTTATATCTTTGCGCGTGTCTTCATTTGTTTCTACAGGGGTGGGAACTTTTTAGCGTTTTTCCTTGCTCGTTTCGACAACGTGAACAGATTTCGACAATAATCATCCAGATTTACATCCATGTGTTTTTCTTCTTTGTATGCGTATATGATTGCAGTAAAAGGGTGGTGGAGCTTATTTTACCATTTTTCTTTCTTTTTTTTTCTTCTTTAAGCCAAATCTGTTTTCTTTCAAAACATATTTTGCGGTCTTCTTCGTCCCCTTTCGTCAATCATCCCGTCTGTCTGTTCGTCGTTTCATCTCCTTTACGAATCTAATATATCTTATTCTTAACCCTTTCAAACCACCACCACCGCCGCCGACGCCGCCGCCACGCCCCCTTACCGCATCGTACAACGCCAAGCCACTCCACTCCCCCCCGTTAAAATCGACACAATCTATTCTGTCCCTCTACGTCCCTTCCCCACCACGCCTTTAGCACTGCACCACATTCCCAAGAATTCTCCACCTCCACCACCACCACCCGCGCCCCGGAGTTTGCCATTTTCGTATCTACTGTGGCATCTGTTAATCTAAGAACCCTTTTTATTTTGCTTAATTTTATCTATTTTTTATATTTTACTTATCTGTAAATTTCTTCTTCTTCTTCTTCTTCTTCTTCTTCTTCTTCTTCTTCTTCGTTTTATTATTATTATTATTATTATTAGTAGTAGTAGTAGTAGCAGTAGTAGTAGTATTAATATTATTATTAGTATTAGTATTAAGTTCTTTAGAGATCCTTCCTTATCGGAAAGACGTGTTATCAGTGTCGATTGGATATGCACGTAGGCGCATGCGCGTGCATGCGCGCGAAAATGTTGATTTACAGAGAAGCCCACAAATAAACACACACACACACGCACACATACACACACATACACAAACACACTGGCAGACACAGACATGCAAAGTCACATGCACACACGCATATAGATACGGAGACGAGCGGGCATCTACAATGACATAACAAAATAACACGCAAGCACAGAGGCACAGAAGCACAGCCACACACAGACACACACAAACACGCATATGGGATGCAGCTTATGCAAAACTACATTTACACATACGTATGCACATACACATACATGCAAGCAGAAAGTGCAATCATTGAACATTTGGAAATAAAATGATAGCAAAGCGTTATCACGAGAGACATGGAGTGTTCGATTCACACATAAGGCACTCATCTGACATTGTGTTAGTCATTGGCTGGTGATCATCAAAAATACTGAGGCCGTGTGCATGTGAATCTATCTATCTATCTATCTATCTATCTCGGTCTATTCTAATCTATCTATCTATCTATTTCGGTCTACACAAATTTATCTGTGCATTTCGGTCTATTCAAATCTATCTATCTCGGTCTATTCAAATCTATCTAAAAATATAAAATGGCGGCAATTTACCCATCACACCCTGTAGATTGCTATTAGCTATCTGAATATATACGTATACTGATACTCTATTATAATCATAAATGCCAAATTTGATTCCTTCGTCGAATAACAGTTGTCATAAAATATGATTACACATGCACTGCTCATTAACGAAATATTACTTTATTGTAAAATTCTATTTGTCGCTGTTGCTTCCACAGAATACACTCCGGGAACATGATAGATTTTATTTGATAAAGTTCTATTTTAGATGAACTGCCACGTATATTTGCTAGTATACAAGACGATGTTACACAGTTGCTTTCAGTTAGATTGGTTTGATTTGGTTTGGTTTGGTTTGGTCTGTTTTACGGCATATCAACATCAATGGGTAATTTAATGCCGACAACATTTATTTTGCTTGTAATATTTTCTTTTTGCCAAAAATCTATTTCTTGTAATATTTTTCCTTCAAAAGTATATTGCCGGTAATAGTTTTTTTCTACAAAAATAATTGCTGGTTATAATTTTTTACGAAGTATTTCTCGTATTAAAACTTATTTTTACACTTTCATACCAGTTTCGGGGTTAACTATTTGCCCATAGCTGGGACCCAAACAGGTGCTACCACCCTGGCTCAGGGTGGACCTGGGAACACCAGCAATTAAGAGATGGTCCCACGCTCTTCAAAACCGCCTGATCAGAGGCCTTGCTGTTGGACGTAGTTTATCGTCTTACCCGGGACGCGGACGTAGTTTATCGTCTTACCCGGGACGCGGACGTTGTTTATTGTCTTACCCAGGACGCGGATGTACTTTATCGTCATACACACGACGGGCCTTCAATTAGAACGTAGTGTTGTCAGAAAATACAGAACGTTTGCTTTATGGCATGCCGAGCGGTTCTTTACTTCAACAATAATGGATGAAGGAAAATATTTGATATTGCAACCAGTGGTGCGAAGATCTTGGATGCACTGGGTGACACAGCTATAGTTCTTTTCATGTGCCGTGTCCATTCAGGACGTAGGCGATCATGGCTCTCCACTTTCCCCTATCCCTTGTTACTTTCACTAAGTTTCATCTCTCTGCCACCTCCCATAGACCATGTTCTGTCATCCACTTGCTTAAGCCCGCCAAGTATGTCATGCATTGGTTTCCCTTTTCTCTTTCCCTCTATTCGACCCGTGAGTATCAGATTCTCCAAGCACTCCTTTTTCATTACGTGTTTCAGAAACTTCATCTGCCTCTTACTGATGTTAAGTATAAGCTTCCTCCTTGTTTGCATATTCTCTAAGACCTCATCGTTGTTCACACGCTCGGTCCATGATATCCTCAGCATCCTTCTGTAGAACTCCGTTTCCTCGAGTCTCTTCTTCATCTTTGAGGAGACCGTCCAACATTCGCTGTCATAAAGGAAGACAGATGTCACGTAGCAGACCAGTACTCTTTTCTTTGTTAACAAAGAGATTCTTCTGTCTCGCAATACTCTGCGCAGCTTTTGGAGTGCGTCCTTGGCCATCGCAATACGTCTACGGATCTCAGCGTAGCACTTACGTTCCTCCATACAAAACACTTCCCAGATATTTAAACTTCTGAACCTGTTTGATTTTAGTGACCCCGATCTGCAAATGGCGTTTCGAGCTCATTCAAACGCTGACAGCTGATATTGTGATCCCTTCATTCATTTTTAACCTTAGTATCTTACAAATGCGCCTGATGCACAGAGTCTTCATGCTATCTTTTATTTCTCTATGGTTTATTCCAAATGCTTCTTAAATACCAAGATAATTGTAAACCCCGTCTTTCTAAGACCGACTTCATGATTTCTCAGACATTGATCACATCACTTCTTCCCGTGCCCGGAAAAATCGGCAACGGAAAATTCGGTAATTTTGACAAGGTAGGAAAATTCGGTAACTGAAGATTCGGTAACAGAAAATTCGGTAACGGAAAATTCGGTAACGGAAGATTCGGTAACGGAAGATTCGGTAACAGAAAATTTGGTATCGGAAGATTCGGTAACAAAAAATTAGGTAACGGAAACTTCGGTAACGGAAGATTCGGTAACGGAAGATTCGGTAACAGAAAATTCGTTAACGGAAAATTCGTTAACGGAAAATTCGGTAATGGAAAATTCGGTAATTTTGACAAGGTAAGAATATTCGGTATCGGAAGATTCGGTAACGGAAGATTCGGTAACAGAAAATTCGATAAAAAAGAAAATTCGTTAACGGAAGATTCGGTAACGGAAGATTCGGTAACAGAAAATTCGGTAACGGAAAATTCGGTAACGGAACATTCGGTAACGGAACATTCGGTAACGGAAACTTCGGTAACGGAAGATTCGGTAACGGAAAATTCGGTATCGGAAGATTCGGTAACGGAAGATTCGGTAACAGAAAATTCGGTAACGGAAAATTCGGTAACGGAAGATTCGGTAACGGAAGATTCGGTAACGGAAAATTCGGTATCGGAAGATTCGGTAACAGAAATTCGGTAACAGAAAATTCGGTAACGGAAGATTCGGTAACGGAAAATTTAAAAAACATTTTAAAATATTGGAGATCCTGCTTAGCCCATAAACACTCCCAACCAGATATTACGGTCCCGATATTTATGAAGTCGGATTTTATCTGGACTAACAGCCACGATTTTTTAGTTAATAATTATTTCAACTTACTGTGGTTGGATAGCCCCCCTCCAGAAAGTACCGCCCTGGTATTGTTGTAGTGGGTTTTTTCTAGACCCCTATAATTAATAATACTTTTAGAAAAATATTGGGAAGGAGGCCAACCCCTTAAGCCCCACTTCTGCATGTAACGGCCCTGATATTGCTTTAGGGAGATATTTGAACCCACTATTTAAAAATATAGGGAAGGGGCACTTGCCCTAAAAATTCCCATTCCACAACGGCCCTATAATCGATTTTCAATCGACTTTTACTTTGTAGTTACTGAATATTCAAAACTTATCAAAATACCGAATATTCCGTTACCAAATTTTCCTAAATTTCTTCTTGCAATATCTGTCTATATTTCTGAGATGAAGTATTATGTACACTATTTACATTATTCGGACTATTGTCCTCATCTTTGTCGCTATATTTATTACAACGTTTCGACCTTTCAGTATCTGTCCATATTTCTGAGATGAAGTATTATGTACACTATTTACATTATTCGGACTGTTGCCCTCATCTTTTTCCCCATATTTATCACAACGTTTCCTCAAGGACACATGGCACAGTGGTTAAAGGTGTTAGTTAGATCCAGTTACAGGACCCAAAGAGTGTGAGTTCAATACCCGGTTAAGGCCGTGGGGAACTTGGAGAGGGGAATTAACAGGAGATAACTGATAACTGACATCCATTAAACATGACACGTGGAACTAGAACAGTCTACACCAGTGAGCGAAATAAAGGGTTCAGTTCGACAAACCAACCACCTGAAGAAGGCCGGAGCGTATAACGGCCGAAACGTTGTAATAAATATGGAGACATAGATGAGGACAATAGTAATAATAATGTCCTTCTTGCAAGTGTTCAAGGGCCATCCTTAAATAGATGGTTGATGTTTTCTTTGCCTCGGTACAGATTTGTGAGAGATGTTATTAGGAGAAATAACAATGGTGATAAATGTCTAGTTGGAAAATACACAACCCAGTGCTTACATTCATTAGGTGGTTACCACTTGTCTCCAATTCAATATTCTGATTCGGTATTTCCCTATTTTAGACATTCCTTGATCAAACTTTTTTATGTTTTTTGCAAAACCAAACAGTTTAAAGGTTTTAATTATCCAGCCTTGTGTTATTATGTCATAAACTTTCCTATAATTGATGTAAGCCTCACCGAATCCAATCTTCTTAGCGTTTTGTATCAAAATTTTATGAATCGATAACTTGGTGATAAGAATTGCTAAGAGGAAATTAACTAAATTTGGTATTGCTTGGGTTTATTATAATAATAATTATTATTATTATTATTATTATTATTATTATTTCCTTTGATTTCTGCTGTGTACACCAGAGACCTAAGGTTAGAAATGGCATCATGACATTTTCCACTAACACACACACACACACAAACACTCACAAAATATTTTACATAGATAGCGCTCTTCGTAAGGTGCCGGCTGTACTCATGAGAACATTTTTTTGTATTTCTTTAAGGCATGGGCTAAGAGGAATCTTTTCAATGAGTCTATGGGAATCTTTTCCAATAAATCCGTGGGTTCCAACTACAACAGGGATTGTTGATGTTCCCATGTGCCACATTTTCGAGATTTCTATTTCAAGGTCCTTGTATTTTGACAGCTTTTTGAATATCTTCAAAGATACATTGCAGTCAGCAGGGACTGGCATATCAATAAGGAGTCACTTTTTTTGTTTGTGGTCTTTAATAACAATATCTGGGCGGTTGGCTTTGATTGTTCTGTCAGTGTGTATTGTGTAGTCCCATAGAGTTGTAACAGGTCTTATCTCCGTAACCGGGTCTGGTTGGTGTTCATACCAGTTTCTTTCAGTTTCCTTCCCGTAGAAGTTGCAGATTTTCCAGTGCAGATATTGGCCCACTCTGTCATGCCGGGTTTTATACTCAGTGGGTGCCAATATCGTGCGACCTGTTACAAGATGAACAATCGTTTCTTGATATTTATCACAGAATCTGCATTTTGGGCTGACACAATATTTTTGTATATGTGCTTGAAAATTCCTAGTTAGCAAGCATTGGTCCTGTGCAGCAAGGATAAAACCTTATTATTATTATTATTATTGATCCTGTTCTTGCTTTGTTGATCAGCATACCATCAAGGTTACTCTGGAGGACAAATATACTGATTAGGGTATATCAAGCATAGCCATCACATCCAAGTATGTGCGATGATGAAGGGTTTTAACGTATAATCTGTCAGGTGTGGCCCAGTTAGAAAAAAAAATTTCATTTTCATTTGACATTATAGAATTCTCCACAGAATTTTTTTGTAAAAACAAAATGAAAGCACCTAAGATCACAGACATTTTACATAAAAAGCACTTCGTAATATCTGAGCTGTTCTTGTGATTGCAATTTCTTTAAGGCATAGACCACGAGGGATCCCTTCAATGAGTCTATACCGAACCTTTTCCAATCAATCCGAGAAATCAAACTTCAACTGGAATTATTGTTGTCCTCATGTGCCACATTTTTGCGATATCCATTTCCAGATCCTTGTATTTTGATTGTTTTTTTTTGAAGACGTTAAAAGATTACAATCTGCAGAAACTCCCATGTCAGTAAGAAAGCACATTATCGTTTGATAGTCTTTGATCACAATGTTTGGAAAGTTCCATAGAATTGTTTCACAATCTATCTCTGTAACCGGGTCTGGGTGATATTCATACCAGTTTCGTGGAGTTTCCTTTACGTACAAGTTACATAATTTCCTTTGCAGATACTGGCCCACTCTATCATGCCGAGTATTACATTCAGTGGGTGCTGACACGATGCCATCTGATACAAGATGGCCAATTGTTTTTGGATATTTATCAAAGAATTTGCATTTCGGGTTAACACAATTTTTCAGTATATCTGCTTGTTAGTAAGGACTGGTTCTGTGCAGCAAGAATAAAACCTTCAGTTTTAGCTTTTAACCCTGCACTACGTAATCAGTGATTGGTATAAGGGTTTGTTTACCTGAGCTTGTTCGGTAAGGGCAGAGTATTGACCTTAAAGCGGTTATTCTTGCTGTCATTTTTGCAATTGATCCATTGCATTTGCTTTCTTTTTTAGGTTCTTTGAGGCTGTAGTACGTTTATTATTGTTTATTTGCATTTCTTCAACCACTTGAAATTCTCTTTTGAATTTGTTGGCTTCCTTCTTTACTGAATAAATTATTATTATTATTATTATTATTATTATTATTGATTATAATAATGTTAACTTTCATTGTAAGAGTCATAAGCAAAGAAACTGAAAATGGCGATCCATCTTCGGATAACTATCTAAGGATCTTTATGATTGGAAACGAAAGTTCCTTTGATATACATATATGAACAGACACTCTCTAGTAGAGTTACGCAATCGACGGTGAAACAACATTGCGTTAATTTGTGTACTGACTGACCATGGTATTGATCAGAACAAATAGCTTAATGTTCACGTCTTGTGCTGCTGTTATTTCCAAAATTAACCCAGGTTTGCCATCCCAACTAATCAAAAATTGACTCCTTGCGATTTCTGGCTTTTACTCTAAACGGCTATTTAATCTATAGCTAGTGTGGAAGAGATGGATCAATGCATTTCCAAGTGCACCTGTGCGAAAGTGAATGCAAGAAAATCATCAGGGTTGAAACACGGTTATCGGATCTCATTTTTGCTGCCGAATACAGCTCTACGTTATACAGCGTTGAAAGAGAAGAGAATCCAGACATTATACGAGATTAAGAATAATGCAAAGTATTCCCCAAGGCCCTCATACATACAGGTGTATCTCAATGGGATCCATTCTAGTAAAAGTACTAAGGTACATTGTAATGAATCGTCTGTCCCCGTTGATAAAATCCCCACCCCACAGCATAGTTTGGTTATTCGTTCAGGTAAAACATGTAATGATGGTATATAGTGATTTTCCAAGCGTAGCTTAGATGTGGTACAAGGCCGAAAGTAGGGGGCACCCAGTGAGGATCGAACTCACTACTCAGTCGTAATTGTTCTAGCGTGACAAGCTTGCTAACCATTACACCACCACGAGGTGCCGTTGTAATTTTCCAAGCGTAGCTTAGATTGTGGCACAAGGTCGAAAGTGAGAGGCACCTAGTGAGGATGGAACTCACTACGCAGTCGTAATTTTTCTAGCGGGACAAGCTTGCTAACCATTACACCACCACGAGGTGCCCTTGTAATTTTCCAAGCGTTGCTTAGATTGTGGCACAAGGCCAAAAGTGAGAGGCACCCATTGAGAATCGAACTCACTACTCAGTCGTAATTGTTCTAGCGAGACAAGCTTGCTAACCATTACAGACCCTCGAAGTGCCCTTGTAATTTTCCAAGCGTAGCTTAGATTGTGGCACAAGGCCGAAAGTAGGGGGCACCCAGTGAGGATCGAACTCACTACTCAGTCGTAATTCTCCTAGCGTGACAAGCTTACTAACCATTACACAACCTCGAGGTACCGTTGTAATATTCCAAGCGTTGCTTAGATGTGGCACAAGGCCGAAATTAGAGGGCACCCAGTGAGCATCGAACTCACTTCTCAGTCGTAATGTTTCTAGCGTGACAAGATTGCTAACCATTACACCACCTCGAGGTACCCGTAATGATGGTATATATGACATGAAGCAGCTTCAGGAAATTGCATACTTTTCAAGTAGAGGTTTACGACCGCATCACGTTAAAACACAGGTTCTCGTACGATCACCGAAGTTAAGCAACGTTGAGTCTGACCAGTAACTAGTATGGGTAACAACTTGGGAATACCAAATGCTGTAAGCTTGGATTCGCGGGAAGAGTAACGGATAATGACTCGGAATTGTTAATCGGAGAGCCGAGTTCCAATTCCAGTTGGGTTTCTTATACTCATACGCAAATACCTTTGGGAATGGTATAAATCCATCTCTTCTCCTTCCTGTTATCGGTTAATTAGTATTAATTTGACTTGTATCATTAAACTATTATCCCCAGAAATAAAACAGAATTGTGTACAAAATATTTAGATTTCGGCATTAAATATTAAATAACCCATAAAGTTTGATATGCCGCTAAACAAAAACAACCAAATCTCTGATAAAAAAAAAATTACTTACCTTATATGTTGGACTCACGAAAAAAATAGATGCTAATTAACACGAACGGACAATTAATAATGAAAATGTTTCGGATCTTAATTTCTAAGAATCTTAGAACCTAAGACCATAGCATTTAAAATTCATCATCATCATCATCGTTCATAAGAAGAAGAAGAAGAAAGAGGAGGAAGAGGAGGAGGAGGAGGAGAAGAAGAAGAAGAAGAAGAAGACTTTTGTGATGGGTGCATTGGAATACCATTTGAAAACTTGAAAGATTTCTTAGGGAAAACTTTTGGAGTTGTAAACTGTCTTGCTGACACCAAGTCTCAAGAACTGAACTGCCATTGATAACAATGTGCGATACCAATAATAATAATAATAATAATAATAATAATTAATATCTATAATTCTCAAGATGTGTATGTATGTACGTGTGTACGTGTGTGTGTGTGATCGGATGTTATTTATGCGTTTCCACAGTTTTCATCCAATTTCTATTAAATAATTCGAATAATAATGATAATTCTTCAGTACCGGTTTTGAGTTCAACTTGTTGGGGACAATGGCTCTCCACTACTTCCTATCCATTATAACTCTCAGCAACGTTTTACGATTTACTATCTATTCTTGGATATATATCTTTCATAAAAACTTCCACAGATTTTTCGATAAAATTTTTTCTTTTGTTTGACAGATAATTTCCCAGTGCTGGTTTTGAGTTCAATTTGCACATTCCTTCTCTCTTGGCCAAGATTTCAATTTCTCTCAAGTGAGGTTACATTTTCTGTTGCATAAAACCTCCTACTACAGTTTTTAGGCGCTGTTTTCATTGTCGTTTATAGCCGTTCTCAATTTATTTTGCCCACACATTTGCCCACACGTTCCATTTGACAATTCATACTTGCCTAAGACATGCCACCAAAGAAAAGAACTTGCCTAGGGCGCAAAAACACTGCCGCCAGGTCCGCCATGCGAATGAGAGATAACGAATTGTCTTTAGAAAGTTCAGTTTGCCAGTCTCAAAATTCCTCTCGGAATGCTTCAATCAGAGCCACTGAATCCGAAGATCAACGTAGCAATCGGCTTTCCAGAAGAGCATACCTGAACGCTTCTGCGCGCGTTGCTGAAAATGATGATCAAAGGGCTGAAAGGCTGAGGAGAAACGCCTCTTCAACTGCTGCTGCGCGTGAGGCTGAAACGAGAACGCAACCCTCATTCAAAATGTCATCCCCACCATTTAGGGATGTACTTCAGTTGAACCCAATTGTTGTTACTAATATTGATTTTCGGGTGGGCTGACTTTAAACTTAAACTTCTCCAATTGAACGGTAAAAGTTTCAAATAATGAAATACTCGGTCGAAGACGAGTTATACTACGAGTATATTGGATCTGAATGAGGTAGCCATTTGTATATCTATCTTTATCAAACTTTATATATATATTTATATCTATAATTGGGAGCGCTGAAAATATCGTTGACCTTGAAATGCCATATATACTATTCCATATTTTCACCCTGAAGTTCAACACACTTGTTATATAGTCATCTTCTGTCCTTCAATCAGGTTCTTTTATTGTCCTCCTTGTTTCTTATATTGTCCTTCTTGTTTCTTTTATTGTCCACCATGTTTCTTATATTGTCCTTCTTGTTTCTTTTATTGTCCTCCCTGTTTCTTATATTGTCCTTCTTGTTTCTTTTATTGTCCTCCCTGTTTCTTATATTGTCCTTCTTGTTTCTTTTATTGTCCTCCCTGTTTCTTATATTGTCCTTCTTGTTTCTTTTATTGTCCTTCTTGTTTCTTTTATTGTCCTTCTTGTTTCTTTTTTCCTGTTTTTTCTTTTTATTGTTTTATTGTCCTCCCTGTTTTTTTTGTCCTTTCTTTGTTTTTTATTGTCCTCCTTTTTGTTTCTTTTTTTTTATTGTCCCTCCCTGTTTTTTATATTGTCCTTCTTGTTTCTTTTTTTTGTCCTCCTGTTTTTTTATTGTCTTCTTGTTTTTTTTATTGTCCCCTGTTTTTATATTGTCCTTCTTGTTTTTTTTTCTTATTTGTCCTTCTTGTTTTTTTTATTGTTTCCCTGTTTATTTGTCTTCTTGTTTCTTTTTTATTGTCCACCCTGTTTCTTTATTGTCCTTCTTGTTTTTTTTTTTTGTTTTTTTTTATTGTCCTTTTATTGTCCTTTTTTTTTTATGTTTCTTTTTTTTTATTGTCCTTCTTTTTCTTATATTGTCTTCTTGTTTTTTTTATTGTCCACCATGTTTTTTTATTGTCCTTCTGTTTTTTATTGTTCTTCTTGTTTTTTTTATTGTCCTCCTTATTCCTTCTTTTTATTGTCCTTCTTGTTTCTTTCCACCCTTTTCTTATATTGTTCTTTCTTTTATTTTTTGTCCACCTTTTTTTATTGTCCTTGTTTTCCCTGTTTCTTATATTGTCCTTCTTGTTTCTTTTTATTGTCCACCATGTTTCTTTTTTTCTTTTTATTGTTCTTCTTGTTTTTTTTTTATTTGTCCTCCTCCTGTTTCTTATTTATTGTCCTTCTTGTTTTTTTTTATTGTCCACCTTCCCCCTTGTTTTTTTTTGTCCTTCTTTATGTCCTTCTTTTTTTTATTGTCCTTGTTTTCTTTATTTCTTCTTGTTTTTATTGTCCTTCTTGTTTTCTTTTATTGTCCTCCTGTTTTATATTGTCCTTCTTGTATTGTCCTTTTTCTTGTTTCTTTTATTGTCCACCCTGTTTCTTTTATTGTCCTTGTTTTTGTTTTTTTTTTTTTATTGTCCTCCTGTTTCTTCATATTGTCTTCTTGTTTCTTTTTTATTGTCCTCCCTTTTTATTGTTATTGTTCTTATATTGTCCTTCTTGTTTTTTTTGTCCTTGTCCATTGTCCTCCTGCCCTTGTTCTTTTTTATTGTTTTTTGTTTTATTGTCCACCCTGTTTCTTTTATTGTCCTCCTTATATTGTCCTTCTTGTTTTTTTATTGTTTCTTTTTTTATTGTCCACCCTGTTTCTTATATTGTCCTTTTGTTTCTTTTTATTGTCCTTCCTGTTTTTTTATTGTCCTCCCTGTTTTTTATTGTTTCTTTTTATTGTCCTTGTTTCTTATATTGTTTTCTTTCCTTTTTTTTATTGTTTCTTCTTGTTTTTTTATTGTCCTTGTTTCTTATATTGTCTTCTTGTTTCTTTTATTGTCCACCCTGTTTCTTATATTGTCCTTCTTCTTTTATTTTCCTCCCTGTTTTTTATTGTTCCACCCACCCTGTTTCTTATATTGTTTTCTTTATATTGTTTTTCTTTTATTGTCCACCCTGTTTCTTATATTGTCCTTCTTGTTTCTTTTTATTGTCCACCATTGTTCTTTTCTTTTTTATTGTCCCCTCCTGTTTTTTATTGTCCTTCTTGTTTCTTTTATTGTCCACCATGTTTCTTTTTATTGTTTCTTTTATTGTCCTCCCTGTTTCTTATATTGTCCTTCTTGTTTTTTATTGTCCATTGTTTTTTTATTGTCTTGTTTCTTTTATTGTCCTTTTATTGTTTCTTTTTTTTTTATTGTCCAAATCTTTTTCTTATATTGTCCCTGTTTCTTTTTTATTGTCCTTATATTGTTTTCTTTTTTTTATTGTCCCTTTCTTATATTGTCCTTCTTGTTTTTTATTTTTTATTTGTCCTTCCATTTTATTGTTTTTTTTATTGTCCTTCTTGTTTCTTTTATTGTCCATGTTTCTTATATATTGTCCTGTTTCTTTTTATTGTCCTCCCCCATGTTTCTTTTTGTCCTTCTTGTTTCTTTTATTGTCCTTTGTTTCTTTTTTTTGTCCTTATTGTTCTTTTTTATTTCCCTTCTTGTTTTTTTATTGTCCTCCCTCTGTTTCTTATTTGTCCTTCTTGTTTCTTTTATTGTCCAATTTCTTTTTATTGTCCACCATGTTTCTTTTATTGTCCTTTCTTGTTTCTTTTTATTGTCCTTGTTTCTTTTATTGTCCACCTGTTTTTATATTGTTCTTCTTGTTTTCTTTTTTCTTTTTGTCCTTCTTGTTTCTTTTATTGTCCTCTTCTTGTTTTTTTATTGTCCATTGTCCACCCTGTTTCTTATATTGTCCTTCTTTTTCTTTTTTTTATTGTCCACCCTGTTTCTTTTATTGTCCTTCTTTTTTCTTTTATTGTCCTTATATTGTCCTGTTTCTTTTATTGTCCTTGTTTTTTTTATTGTCCTTTGTTTGTCCAACCATGTTTCTTTTATTGTTCTTTTTTTATTGTCCTTTATTGTCCTTGTTTCCTTTTTTCTTTTGTTGTCCACCCTTGTCCTCTTTTTCTGTTTCTTTTATTGTCCTTCTTCTTTTTCTTTTATTGTCCTCCCTTTTGTTTCTTTTATTGTCCTTCTTGTTTCTTTTTATTGTCCACCCCCTGTTTTTTATTGTCCATTTTTTTTATTGTTCTTCTTGTTTCTTTTTTCTTTTATTGTCCCCTCCTGTTTTTATTTGTCCTTCTTATTGTCCTTCTTTTTTATATTGTCCTTCTTGTTTTTTTTTTATTGTTCCTTGTTTCCCTGTTTCTTTTATTGTTCTTCTTTTTATTGTCCACCATGTTTCTTATATTGTCCTTCTTGTTTTTTTTTATTGTCCTCCATGTTTTTTTTATTGTCCAATTTTTTATATTGTTTCTTTTTTTGTCCACCATGTTTTTATATTGTCCTTCTTGTTTTTATTGTCCACCCTGTTTCTTTTCTTGTTTCTTTTTATTGTCCACCCTGTTTCTTTTATTGTCCACTTGTTTCTTTCCTCCCTGTTTCTTTTTATTGTCCACCCTTTTCTTATATTGTCCCTTGTTTCTTTTATTGTCCACCCTGTTTCTTATATTGTTCTTCTTGTTTCTTTTATTGTCCTCCTGTTTATATTGTCTTTTTGTTTCTTTTATTGTCCTCCTCTTTTATATTGTCCTTCTTGTTTCTTTTTTATTGTCCTCCCTGTTTCTTTTTTGTCCTGTTTCTTATTGTTTTTTTATTGTCCTTCTTGTTTCTTGTCCTTTTTTTCCCTTCTTGTTTATTTATTGTCCTCCCTGTTTCTTTATTGTCCTTCTTGTTTTTTTTTTATTGTCCTTCTTGTTTCTTTTATTGTCCTCCTTGTTTTTTTTATTGTCCTTCTTGTTTCTTTTATTGTCCTTCTTGTTTTTTTTTTATTGTCCTTCTTATATTGTCCTGTTTTTATTGTCCACCCTTTTTTATATTGTCCTTCTTGTTTTTTTTATTGTCCACCCTTTTTTATTGTTTCTTTTTCTTATATTGTCCTTCTTGTTTTTTATTGTCCACCCTTTATTGTCCTTCTTTGTTTCTTTTATTGTCCACCATGTTTCTTATATTGTTTCTTTTTTTATTGTCCTCTTCTTTATTTTTTTTTTATTGTCCCTCCTGTTTTTTATATTGCCCTTCTTGTTTTTTTTATTGTCCTCCTGTTTTTTTATTGCCCTTCTTGTTTTTTTTTATTGTTACCTTTTGTCCTCCTGTTCTTCTTGTTTCTTTTATTGTCCTCCCTGTTTTTTATATTGTCCTTCTTTTTTTTATTGTCTTTTTCTTTTATTGTCCTTCTTGTTTCTGTTTCTTATATTGTCCTTCTTGTTTCTTTTTATTGTCCTCCTGTTTTATATTGTCCACTTGTTTCTTTTATTGTTTGTCCTCCCTGTTTTTTATATTGTCCTTCTTGTTTTTTTATTTTCCTCCCTTTTTTTATATTGTCCTCTTCTTTTTATTGTCCTCCTGTTTCTTATATTGTTCTTCTTGTTTTTTTATTGTCCCTCCCTGTTTTATATTGTCCTTGTTTCCCCTGTTTCTTATATTGTCCTTTTGTTTCTTTTTATTGTCCTCCTGTTTTTATATTGTTTCTTTTTATTGTCCTCCCTGTTTCTTATATTGTTTCTTTTGTTTTTTTTTTTTATTGTCCTCCTTTTTTATATTGTTTCTTGTTTCTTTTATTGTCCACCCTCCTGTTTTTATATTGTCCTTCTTGTTTCTTTTATTTTTCTTGTTTCTTTTTTATTGTCCTCCCTGTTTCTTTTATTGCCCCCCCTGTTTCTTATATTGTCCTTCTTGTTTCTTTTTTTATTGTCCACCTGTTTCTTTATATTGTCCTTCTTGTTTCTTTTATTGTCTTCTTGTTTTTATATTGTCCTTATATTTTTCTTGTTTTTTATTGTCCTGTTTTCTTATATTGTCCTTTCTTGTTTCTTTTATTGTCCTCCTGTTTCTTATTGCCCTTTCTTGTTTCTTTTTATTGTCCTCCTTGTTTCTTTTTTTTATTGTCCTCCTGTTTTTATATTGTCCTTCTTGTTTCTTTTTTATTGTCCTTCCCTCCCCATTTCTTATATTGTTTTTCTTGTTTCTTTTATTTTCCTCCCTGTTTCTTTTATTGTCCTTCTTGTTTCTTTTGTTGTCCACCCTGTTTCTTATATTGTTCTTCTTGTTTCTTTTATTGTCCTCACTGTTTCTTATATTGTCCTTCTTATATTGTGTTTTATTTGTTCCTTTTATTGTCCACCTGTTTTTTATATTGTCCTTTTCTTGTCCTTTTTGTATTGTCCTTGTTTTTATATTATCACCCCTTGTTTTATTGTCCTTCTTGTTTCTTTTTATTGTCCTCCTGTTTCTTTTATTGTTCTCCATTTTTCTTTTTATTGTCCTCCCTTCTTGTTTCTTTTATTGTCCCTCCTCCCTTTTCTTATATTGTCCTTCTTTTTTTTTTATTGTCCTTGTTTTCCTTCCTTCTTGTCCTTGTTTCTTATTTTTTTTTGTCCCTTTTTATTGTCCTCCCTGTTTCTTATATTGTCCTTCTTGTTTCTTTTATTGTCCTCCCTGTTTCTTATATTGTCCTTCTTGTTTCTTTTATTGTCCACCCTGTTTCTTTTATTGTCCTTCTTGTTTCTTTTATTGTCCTCCCTGTTTCTTTTATTGTTCTTGTTTCTTTTATTGTCCTCTTATATTGTTTCTTTTTTTATTGTCCTCCTTTTCTTATATTGCCTTCTTGTTTCTTTTTTTATTGTCCTCCCTGTTTCTTATATTGTTTCTTGTTTCTTTTTTATTGTCCAATTCTTGTTTCTTTTATTGTCCTTCTTGTTTCTTTTTTTCCTCTTGTTTTTATATTGTCCTCCCTGTTTTATTGTTCTTCTTTTTTTATTGTCCTTTCTGTTTCTTTATATTGTCCTTTTTCTTTATTGTTTTTTTATTTGTCCCCTTGTTTCTTTTTTATTGTCCTTCTTGTTTCTTTTATTGTCCTCCCTGTTTCTTATATTGTCCTTCTTGTTTCTTTTATTGTCCTCCCTGTTTCTTATATTGTCCTTCTTGTTTCTTTTATTGCCCTTCTTGTTTCTTTTATTGTCCTCCCTGTTTCTTATATTGTCCTTCTTGTTTCTTTTATTGTCCTTCTTGTTTCTTTATTGTCCTTGTTTCTTTTTTTGTTTCTTTTATTGTCCTTATTGTCCTCCTTGTTTTTTATTGTCCACCTTGTCTTGTTTTTTTATTGTCCTTCTTATATTGTTTATTTTGTTTTTTTTATTGTCCACCATGTTTCTTATATTGTCCTTCTTGTTTCTTTTATTGTCCTCCCTGTTTCTTATATTGCCCTTCTTGTTTCTTTTATTGTCCTCCCTGTTTCCTCCCTCCCTGTTTTTATATTGTCCTTTTTGTTTATTTTCCTTTTTTCTTGTCCTGTTTCCCTTCTTGTTTGTTCTTTTATTGTCCTCCTGTTTTTATATTGTTCTTCTTGTTTCTTTTTTGTCCTCCCTGTTTCTTATTTGCCCCCCTTGTTTCTTTTTTATTGTCCTTCCTTTTCTTTTATATTGTCCTTTTTGTCTTGTTTCTTTTATTGTCCTCCCTGTTTCTTATATTGTCCTTCTTTTTTCTTTTTTTTATTGTCCACCTGTTTCTTTTGTTTCTTCTTGTTTTTTTATTGTCCTCCTGTTTTTATATTGTCCTTGTCCTGTTTTTATTTTGTCCACCCCTGTTTCTTATATTGTCTTTGTTTTTTTATTGTCCTCCTTGTTTCTTTTATTTCGTTCTTCTTTTTTTTTATTGTCCTCCCTGTTTTTTATATTGTCCTTCTTGTTTTTTTATTGTGTTTTTATATTGTTCTTCTTTTCTTTTTATTGTCCTTTTTTTTTTATTGTCCTTCTTGTTTCTTTTTTATTGCCCTCTTCTTTTTCTTTATTGTCCTGTTTCTTTTATTGTCCTTTTTAAAAAAATCTTGTTTTTTTTATTGTCCTCCCTGTTTCTTATATTGTTCTTTTTCTTTATTGCCCTTCTTGTTTTCTTTTTATTGTCCTCCTGTTTTTATTTGTCCTTCTTGTTTCTTTTATTGTCCTTTGTTTTTTTATATTGTTTTTTTTCCTCATTGTCCCCTGTTTCTTATATTGTCCTCTTGTTTCTTTTATTGTTTCTTTTATTGTCCTTTCTTGTTTTTTTATTGTCCTTGTTTCTTATATTGTTCTTGTTTTGTTTCTTTTTTTATTGTTCTTTTCTTTGTTTCTTTTTTTATTGTCCTCCTTGTTTCTTTTATTGTCCTCCTGTTTCTTATATTGTTCTTCTGTTTTTTTTTTTGTCCTTCTTGTTTCTTTTTATTGTCCTCCCTGTTTTCTTATATTGTCCTTCTTGTTTTTTTATTGTTTTCCTCCCTGTTTCTTTTATTGTCCCTGTTTTTATTTTTTTTTTTTTTATTGTCCTCCTGTTTTATATTGTTTTCTTGTTTCTTTTATTTATCCTCCCTGTTTTTATTTGTTTTCTTTTATTGTCCTGTTCTTGTTTCTTTTATTGTCCTTCTTGTTTCTTTTTTATTGTTCCTTTTGTTTCTTTTTTTATTGTTTCTTTTATTCTCCTTCCTGTTTCTTATATTGTCCTCCCTGTTTCTCATGTTGTCCTTCCTGTTTCTGTTATTGTTCTACCAGTTTCTTTCTCTTTCAGTAACTTCATGCGACCTAATCGCTTGGGCTGAAAAAAATTCTTTTTAATTATTCCAAGTAAAATTTTAATTTTGGTCAGTTTTGTAAATTCTTTACCTGGAATCTCGGCTCCAGTCAATTTCTCACCACCTTTTCTATAAATATTCTCATGGCAGTTGTTCTAATGAGCTCTCCTTCTTGGTACCGCAACTGCATAAATTTCAACGCATTACTAAATTGGCAGCTAGGTCACATCATTTTACTATTTATATACCTAAATGTAACCGGAAGTTCTATACTAACAGTTTCTTTTCTCGCACTTCTCGCCTGTGGAACATTCTTCCAGTTTCTTGCTTCCCCTCTACCTTCTCCTTTTATGTGCTGTGTCTATTCAGGTCGTACTTGATCATGGCCCTCCACATCTTCCTGTCCCTTTTAGCTCTTAATAAGTTTTGTCTTTTTGTTATTTCTCCCAAACCCTGTGCTGTCATCTATTTGCTCGTGCGCATCAAGTATGATAGGCGCTGTTTTTCTCTGTCCCTCTTTCTCTCAATCTGCCCTGTGAGTATCAGGTTTTCCAAACCCTTTTTCCTTGTTACCTGTCCCAGAAACCTCAACTGCCACTTCCTGATGTTAAACATGAGTTTCCTTTTTATTTTCATTATTCTCTCCAAAACCACGTTGTTGCTCACATGTTTGGTCCATGTTATCCTCAGCATCCTTCTGTAGTTATCCTGAACGGCCAATCACTTAGATCCTTTCCTAGTAACGCAGGTGTCTTTCTGGGTTCCATCCTTGGTCCTACTCTTCTTTTAATTTTCATTATTGACCTTCCTGATGACATCAGCTCTTAACTTGGTACCTAAGCTGATACACAACAATTTACTCCTGGTCTGAAAAGGTTAAAATGGCAGCCAACGTCCAAAACGATCTCAAGTCCATAGTTAACTAGGACAAAGATGGCATGTTAATTATAATGCCTCCAAAACTAAACTTCTCTCAGTTAGCCATCTGAGAGTCCTCTACCTGCCTTCCATCAGCATGGCTGATGCTATCCTCCAGGAAAGCTTTGCCCTCCTCGGGCTCACGTTCTCTGCTGATATGAGGTGGAAATACTATATTGAATCGATTGCTAGATCAACTGCTAAGAAAGTCGGTTCACAGTCGGACGAGACAGTTTTCCTCTTCGGAATCTATCTTACATATCTATAAGTCTACAATTCGTCCATTGTTAGAATATTGTTGTCACATGTGGTCAGGTGCCCCTGCTATTTACCTTGAGCTCCTTGATAAGGTCTAAAAAAAGAATATGCAATATTATTAGTCCTGATCTGGCGGCTCGGCTCCAGTCACATTTACACGGCCGTAAGGTTGCCTCTCTGTGTCTTTTCTATAAATACTTTCATGGTAATTGTTCAAATGAGCTCTTCACTGTACTACCTAGAGGTTTGAATTTAAGTGCAGCACTAGGCTGATGTCAATATCTCTTAGTTACAGTTCAGCTGGCTAGATGTAGCCGTAAGTTCTATGCTAACAATTTGTTCTCTCGCACTTCACGCTTGTGGAACTTCCTTCAGACTCCATGTTTTCCAGCTAATTTTAAATTGCAAAACTTTAAATGCAATGTCAATCGCTATCTACAGTCCTCCTGATTACTCTCTTCTCTTACTGCTCATCATTAATATTTCTGGTCCTAATTCTTCCACACTCTGTAACCGCTTGTGCTTTAGATGCCTTACTGATTTGCTTGGGGTGATTCCGATTTTTAAAAAAGAACACCATTTCTGTTGCTTCGAATGTCTTCTTCATCTTTGAGGAGACTGTCCAGCTTACGTAAAATCTTTAAAAATTAAATTCGGCGCCAAACGCCATCATCTCTCTTCCTGGAACATATTCTTCTATTGCTCTTTCTCCTCACCAAAGTCTTCTCATTCTCTTTCACTCACAGTTACCTCCTACTTGCGTCTTAGTAGCATTGTCGCCTTGCTTGACAGGTCGAGAACATTTCAGCACTTACTTCCACATCTCAATCAATTCTTCTGCCAACTTCTGGACCTGCAAAAATCTCTTAAACAGAAAGAGAAAAAAATCAGAGTTTTATAGACTAAGTTTAACTTAATACATCGCAAAGTGACCAGAGAGGGATATAACTAAAGCACACTCGCCTAATTGGGAAGGGTCGATGTATTCCAGTCATCCCAATTATCTAGAAAATAATATATTTGTTTATATATGCATCCGTATGTCTTGAGAAAGGTAGGTAATTTGAGCAAACCCTGTACTGATAAGTCAAGGTACTAAAAAGTAATGTATTTCAGCCATGATGCACTGTAGTCCCGATAAGACCCGCAAGATGGTCAGACACACGGACGGCAAGAGGGACGAGTGAAAAGAAAGAAAGAAAGAAAGAAAGAAAGAAAGAAAGAAAGAAAGAAAGAAAGAAAGGTAAATGCAAACGAATATCGGGAGGAAGGACAAAGTGTGGCAGCGATCTGTTGTTAATCTGGTGGGTCGACCATGTTTTTCCTTTGATAGCGAATAGAGATGGCAAAAGGGAAGCTAGTGATGAACTAAATGAAATTAACCTAAAAAGCTGATAAAGAAAAGATTAGCGAATACGAAGAACGCAACATATGTCCTAGATATAAAGGCGCGAAAGAAAATAGGGCAATTCTAGAACGAGGAAACGCAAAAGACGAATTGAAAGAGGAGAAAAAAATAGAAAAAGAAGAAAGACGTAAAAGAGATTTGGAAAATAAGAAGGGAGGAAGGGAGAGAAGGAAGAAGAGAGAATGATAATAATTAGGGAAACCAAAAAAGGGAAGCCGACGAAACGAAATACATTGATAAATAAATAAATAAATAAATAAAGAAAGAAAGAAAGAAAGAAAGAAAGAAAAGAAAGAAAGAAAGCGTGGGCATATTTGAAAGAAAAATGTCAAGAAAGAAAAAAGGAAAGAAAAAAGCTTAGGAATATTTGAAAGAAAGTTTAAAGAAAGAAAGAAAGAAAGAAAGAAAGAGTTGGCATATTTGAATGAAAAAATGTCAAGAAAGAAAAAGGAAAGAAAAAAGCTTAGGAATATTTGAAAGAAAGTTTAAAGAAAGAAAGAAAGAAAGAAAGAAAGAAAGAAAGAAAGAGTTGGCATATTTGAATGAAAAAATGTCAAGAAAGAAAAAAGGAAAGAAAAAAGCTTAGGAATATTTGAAAGAAAGTTTAAAGAAAGAAAGAAAGAAAGAAAGAAAGAGTTGGCATACTTGAATGAAAAAATGTCAAGAAAGAAAAAGGAAAGAAAAAAGAAAATTTTTTAGGTATATTTGAAAGAAAGACAGACAGGAAGAAAGAAAGAAAGAAAGAAAGAAAGAAAGAAAGAAAGAAAGAAAGAAAAGAAAAGAAAGAAAGAAAGAAAGAAAGAAAGAAAAGAAAAGAAAGAAAGAAAGAAAGAAAGAAAGAAAGAAAAGAAAAGAAAGAAAGAAAGAAAGAAAAGAAAAGAAAGAAAGAAAGAAAGAAAGAAAGAAAAGAAAAGAAAGAAAGAAAGAAAGAAAGAAAGAAAGAAAGAATGCATTGTTTATTTGAAAGAAAAAAGTAAACAAGCTAGTAAGAAAGATTCAAACATAAACAGAAAAGTAAAAAACAAAGAAATAAACCATGAGCTTATCTGAAAGAAAGAAAGAAAGAAAGAAAGTATCGTTATATTTGAAAGAAAAAGTAAAAGAACAAGAAAGAAAGAAAGAAAAAAAGAAAGAAAAAAGAAAGAAAGAAAGAATAGCTATGTTTGAAAAATAATCCAGGATAAAGGAAAATATTTGGGTAAAAAAAATTGCAATTTAAAAATTAAGCCAATCAAAGTTTGTCTCTATATAACGGGTGCGATAGATAAATTGTCGTAAATATGAAAACTAATTTCGCAAGAATAAAAATACCATTAGCATTTCATTTTAATAAATATATTTACCAAAATTCTACAAAAATATCTTGAAATACTAGAGTAGATTTATTCAATAAAATCACCATTGGCTTCAATCACGGCCTCCAGACGACTTCGGTATCTATATCTCTTCTGGAGGATCGCTTTGTTCAAATTGGTGAATGCTGCCATAATCCTTGCCTTAAGTTCATCTTTAGTGTTACATGGAACTTTGTTGGTCTTTCGCTCAAATGCGCCCCACATATAATAATCAATTGTATTGCAATCTGGGTAGTTAGGGAGCTAGATGTAAGGGGTGATGTAGTCGCAGAAATTGTCTGCCAGTCATAACTGGGTTCTTCTGCATGTGTGTCATGGTGCAGAGTCCTGTAGCCAGACATAAAGTCTTCCAGCAGTCATCCTATTGACACAGGTCAACATTACTTTCTCAAGGCCTCCATGTTAGACGCAAGGCCCTGTGGGAAGATAAATGGAGACATAACGTCGTCATCTCTGAAATGTTCGTATTGGAATTTCCAGCGTGAATGCCAAGCAGTACAGCAAGCCGCTTCAAAATTTCTGGTGGAGTTAATTGCGTCATGTTGCTCTTTTTCTCACAGACAGTGCCCAACTAACTCTAGTATACTGTGCAGTCGGCAAAATCAAAAGGAAACAACGAGTATGCGCCAAATTAAAAATATAAAATGACGACAATTTACCCATCGCTCCTTGTACATAATATACATATACACATACATACATACATATATATATATATATATATATATATATATATATATATATATATATATATATATATATATATATATACATATATATATATACATAATGAAATGGACAAAGTCCGCCAATTATTTTAAGACATTTTTTATGTTTATAAATTTATATATATATATATATATATGTAAATATATATATATATATATATATATATATATATATATATATATATATATATATATATATAAAAGACATTTTTTATGTTTATACATTCTTTTTATAGATACAAATATTTAAGTAAATACACTGTTTTATTAAACAGTCAACTCCGACCAAGAGGTTATAGAAAATATTGTCCTCCGACGGATTCCCTGTATCCTATACAGAACCTGAGGCGCTTTTACCGATTTCTCACAGAATAAAATCGACCGCTCCTCTATGGCGAAATCCGTAAAATCACGTCATGCTATTTGATGGTTCCGCATAGGATAGGTTCGATTCCTATCGGAGGACGCATATTTTCTACGAAAATTTCTTGGACATTCAGGCCGGTAAATGTTGTTAATACTGTTTATTATAAACAGTGTATTTACTTAAATGTTTGTATCTATAAAAAAGAATGTATAAACATAAAAATGTCTTTATATATATGTGAAAAATATATAGAAAATAGGAAAGAACTCGTTAGGTAAATAATCCAAAGTTCTTTAGTATTTTTGTTATTACTTTAAAAAATAGTACAAAAGTAGAGCAGAAATATAATTATTTATTTAAAAATATGATTCCAACACGTTACATAAGAGTTCTTATGTTTTAAAACAAGAGCCGAAAACTTCAATATAATGAATTTATTTCATAAATAAAAAATAAAATAAAAATATAAATAAATCTCCATAGACGCTTAACCAGACTAGACGATGTCATCTTCCGCTTTAAATTTAGACACCCCAACCTTACCCTGACTTGACATCTGTGAATGTAACTGAGATATTGATACAAATTATTAACACCTTACGCCCCTTTTGTTTAAACAATTGCTCTAGCCGTTACCATAGAAATTTTGATTTCAATAATGAATATGCTTATAAAACGCGTAAATTTCAGAAAAAAGTTATTCCCAAAAAATTTCGCTTGAAGATGGAACAGAGCTTAGTACTTTAATTCAATTTAATTCAAATAATTATATTGAAGTTTTCGGCTCTTGTTTTGAAACATGAGAACTCTTATGTTAGCGTGTTGGAATCATATTTTAAATAAATAATTATATATATATATATATATATATATATATATATATATATATATATATATATGTGCGCATGCGCTCATTCGTGTATGTATGCGTGCATACATCAATAAGTTTGTAGTTTAATGAAAAAATAATTTAATCTCTTTCATTAGTAAAGAATTCACTGATAAACACTAATCATGTAAACTAAAGATTATACATCGAAAATTTCAGATCGAAATTAAGCTAATAACTACGTTTCACGTAAGACCATATCACTCGATTTTAGAGTCCTTAAATTAGCTTGAGTCAGTATTTAGTGTGACACTACTCAGTACCCTCGGGAATAGGGTAAATATACTGGCTGCATTTTTCTTTACATATTTCTGCGAATAATTTGTAACGTTATAGTGCCTGTACGAAGATAGATTAAGATGCCAATGAAGTTATTTCAGATATGGATTTGTATCCACGTCAGGAACCGCCATTTCTATGTAAACTGAACATCCATCTCGTGGCAGGATTGGCATACCCAAAAGAATTCTACAGATTAAAAAATAAAGAAAATGACTTTTCATAAGAACAATTTTGCAGTAGCCATTTGACACTCTGCACTGTTAATTTGCTTGTTTGTTTTTTGTTTGTTGTTTTTTTTTTACGCAGACTATTCATTGACTAATTTGTTTTCTATGGATTATCAATCCTTTTATGTTATTTAAAGCCAGAAATTATTTTTAGACTGTATGAATGTTTTTTTTTTTTGTGATACATATCTTACTAATTAACCCATGGATTGTGGGGGAAAGAGGTGGATTCATTCCTTTGCCAAGTGTATTTGCGCGTAAACGAACCCAATTCGGTTCTCTAATTAACAATTCCGAATCTTTATGAATAAATAAATATATAAAGAAGGAAAGAAAAAAAAAAGAAAGAAAGAAAGAAAGAAAGAAAGAAAGCATGGGCATATTTGAAAGGAAAGAAAGAAAATAAAAAAACATGAGAATATTTGAAAGAAAGTTTAAAACAAGAAAGAAAGAAAGAAAGAAAGAAAGAAAGAAATGTGTTTATTTGTAAAGTAAACGAGCTAGAAAGAAAGGAAGAGGCAAACAACAGAAAAAGTAAAAGACAAAGAAAGAAAGAAAGAATAAATGAAGAAACTATGGTCATATTTGAAAGAAAAAAAGTAAAAGAACAAGAAAGAAAGAAAGAATGAAAGAAAGAAAGGAAAAGGATGGGGATATTTGAAAAATAATCCAGGAAAAATGAAAACGAATTTGTAGCAGCCATTTGTCACACTGCACCGTTATTTTTTATATTTTTTTTTTTTACGCAGACTATTCATTGACTGATTTGTTTTCTACTGATTATCAGCCCTTTTATGTTATTTAAAGCCAGAAATTATTTAAGACTGTAAGAATTTTTTTTAAGATAATAACGATTTAGGGAAACATATCTTACTAATAGCTTGATAGAGAAGAGATGTATTCACTACTTTGCTAAGAGTATTTGCTCGTAAACGAACCCAACTGAAATTGGAATTCAGTTCTCTAATTAAAATTTCCGGGCCTTTATCCATTACACCACCCGCACATCCATGCTTACAGCACCCGGTATGCCCAAGCGGCCACCCATCTAGGTACTGACCAGACACGACGTTGCTTAACTTCGGTGATTTTACGCAGCCGTAAGCCCTTAAAAGACCTAATACCGATATAGCGAAATTTCCAAAGGGTTTTACCACCATAAGATATGCAGATGGCACAGCGTTAATGGTGGACAGAAGCAGGAAACTATAAGAACTCTCACAAAAAGTAGTAAATGAAAATTAGAAATAAGGGTTGTCACAAAAATGCCAAGTACTAATCAAAAAGTGCAAAAATTTAAATACATCTAGCATCTCATCTACAGTCACTGCTTCCCTCTGTCTTTTCTACAAGTATTTTCAAGGCAACTGCTCTCGACGGGCTACTTTCGATAGTTCCCAAATAGCATGAATTTAAGCGTGCTACTAGGTTGGCATCTCGGTGCCACCCTTTCACTGTCGAAACGGTTACACGTAGCTGTCTCTTGTATTCCACTGGCTTCTTATCTCGCACTTCCTGTCTGTGGAACTCCCTTCCTTTTACTTGCTTCCTTGAAAGTTATAATCTTTAAATATTCAAATGTAATGTCAATCGACATCTTCTGATGCCTTGATCTTGTTCCCCGTCATTCTCTCTATCCTTTCCTCAAACACGCCTCTTTACTCTGGCTCTTACCCCCTCTAATCCCTTGCGTGCTAGTGGCACCCCCATTGGGGGAATTGCTTATATATATATATATATATATATATATATATATATATATATATATATATATATATATATATATATAGGAAGTGTTTTAACGGAGGACGGAAAGCGCAACTCTGAACTCCGAAGGCGCTTTGGGATAGCAAAAGGTGCCTTCCAAAAGCTAAGTAAAGTATTAAGAAACATAAAATTTCGCTAGAAAAAAAAAAGAGTACTGAAATGTTATGTAATATCAGTATTACTATATGAATCAGTATTCCTATGAATGCTGTACAATCTCCTCACAGATGAAGAAGATACTTGAAACAAGAGATATTTGGTTGTACAGAAGGATGCTGAGAATACCATGGATCGAATATGTGATCAAGGACGATGTTTTGGAGAAAATGGTAAGAAAGAGCGCCCTTAACATAACATCAGAAGGAGTTACTTGAAATTTCTAGGGAACATTATGAGGAAAGAAGGCTTGAAAATCTCATACTCACAGGACGTAGCGAGCTTGTGTAAATAAATGGTGGAACAGGGTTTAGGAGTGATAACCAAAAAAACATATTAAGACTTACAAATGATAGGAAATTGTGAAGAACCATGATCGCCAACATCCTGAAGGGACACGATGCAAAAAGAAGATACATACATAATGTCATATTGTCAGAAACTATAATGTCTACAACATCATGTGAATTGGTTAGAAGCCTAACATGTCTTAAAATCAACAATGAACTCCGTTAATTAAAATTCTAACTAGAAATAGTGTCTCGATAAAATCTCTGTGCAGAAGGCCACGAGAAACCTCACTATCCACCCGAACAACAATTTACAAATGTTAAATAATTGTTTAGCAGACTATTATTTTTAGAGGAAGTGTATCTTGGCTCCGCCTTCTTGAAGTTTACATTGGTGTCAGATGCAAGCCAAAATAAGGAAGTCGACTTTGATTGGCTGAGCTAGCATGGAAATGATAGAGAAAGGTTTTTCATTGAGTTGGTTCTTACACGTCAAGCGATGTAGACGTGTTATCTTTCGTGTCTGAAACGGCTCCCCAGTGAGGTAGGGGCGACCCACACTGTATAGTTAGTACGTGTCGACATGAATAAAATAAATAATTAAGTTTTAAAATTCCCCGTTTTGGATGCATTTCATCTCTGAACCGAAAAACATCTAGCGACTTCCCGACCAAGAGAAAACGAGAGAGAAGATACAACAAAAAATATCCGATAACAGCGAGGTGTGGTTCACGTAAGGATGGAAGCATGCAACCGGTGTCGATGGACTGTTATCCTGTGACTGTCTTTTAAGATTGCAATAAATGCATAGATTATTAAGACACTGTACCAGTGCGGTGAGTCAGAAAAATGTAAAAGCGGAAACGAAAGGCGGAATTCTAGTATCAAGGGAGGATGTAAGACAATAAGAAAAACCAATGCGGATTTTATAAGCAACCGCCACAGAATCATATACGCGGGAGGATAGAAAAAAAAAGTGGGAGAGTCGTTCGGATAATATTAAATAATGAGGGAAAGAATTTTGTTTTGGTTAGTGGCAATTATCAAATAGAGAAGTCAATATGGTGATGATAGTTGTATATGCATCCACGTCAGAAAGCACTGAAAAATAAACAGATCATTTTTACAACGTACTACAAAACGCTAAATATCGGAGCAAGTCACAAGAAATTATCATTACCCTGGGGGTGAGGGCTAAAACTGGGAAAGGAACAAGACGCTGAAATGGTTCGTACGCATAAACTTGGATCACGTCATGAATTCAGAATAAAAAAGATTTAGTCGGTGCACAGCGAATTAGCAAGGAATTCTCGACCTTGATGAACGCCCACGACGAGTGTTTGGAAAAACCCGACAAGAGACGTTGAAAACCAGATAGGCTACCTAACAATTAGGAAATGATTTCCACATGCAGTTTTTCACTCGAAAACATATTAAAAGGCTGAATGCGGGGGCGATCACCTCCGTGTCTTAGAGTAAGCATCAGTCTCTTTCGATTAATGTCTGACGAAGCAGAAGATTTTCCTGCTGTAAGTTGCCATTTCTTTCTGAGGTAGACTGGCTGACAACAAAGACTATAGGATTAATTCTGTCCTGCTATTCAACCCAAAACTGGGAGATGGGACGGATTCACACCTTTCCCAAGTGAACATGTAGTTAGTACAAGTACGCTGAGATAAGTGTGTGAGGTTCTAAATGAAGTATATTGCAGCGAACTAAAAGCACTTTGAGCTAAGTAAGTTATTATAAAACATCTAGGTGCTTTCCTGACAGACTTTCGACAACACTGATTACTATTACGTCTTTCCTCTACCGCCAGATAATAACGATTTTCTAAGCGTGGGTTAGATGAGGCACAAGGCCGAAATTTTTGGTGGCACCAAGTGAAGATCGAACTCACTACTCAGTCGTAAATATTCTAACAAGAAAAGCTTGCTGACCATTACGGTGTTTACTTGTTCCCCCACAAGAACGAGATGTGACACAAGATATTTTTAAAATGGGGACCCGAGCGCGTGCATCCGGGTAAGGGAAAAAAAATGTCCACAGCCTTCACTGCCGTCGGTTGTGCTGGCTTCGGTGCTAGCACCGATCCCTCCCTCTTGTGCAATGGGAGGGCGCGGCCTCGGGCAGATGTTTCCCCAGGGCTGGGCACCTCTCAGCATAAATTCTCAGTTGCCTCTCTGTACTTTGACAGAGAAGCCCCTGAGCGCACTCTGCGCAAAGACAGAGACGCAATAAGTTCCCGAACCGCCAGGTTATATGTTGTGTCCCGAGACATGAAGAGGTTAAGTCTAATCTGACTCTTGTTAATATAGAACAGAGCAGGAGGAGCTATATACTTCCTGGGGCAAGGAACCAAAAATGTTTCCAACATCTTTAGCGAGGGATCGTATATATAAGTTCCACTTGTGGCCTGCGCTGAACATGGGTCCCAGTGGGCGTTCAAGGCTTTTAACCACCCTGAGAATACGGCC